TCCTCTGCTATGTTGTTTGTCCACCCTTCCAAAAACCAATCTCTCCTGGCCATGTGCCCAGAGTAAGTGAGGCAGATCTTCAAAATCCTAGCCTCCAAGGAAAGACGTGGTTTCACATTCTCCAAAATAGACCTATTTGTTTTCTTGGCAGTTCATGTTATGTTCAAGACTTCTCCTGCACCACAACTCAAAGGCATCGATTCTTCTTCTGTCATCCTTAGTCATTGTCCAACTCTCTGAAGCATAACAAGTAACTGAGAAAACCATGGCCTGGATTAGACGCACCCTTGTATCTAGACTGACATCCTCTTCAGCTCTCTGGAGAAGTCCATGACAACAGATTATCCCAAAGCAGTTTATCTTTTGATTTCCTGACTGCTGGTGTTAAGAGTGTTGATTGTGGAGCTGAGCAAGCTGTAATTGCTAACAACCTCAATCTCTTCTCCATCTAATATGATGCTGCCAGTTGGCCCAGTGGTGAGAATCTTTGTCTTCTTGATGTTGAGATTCAATCCATATTGAAGACTACAGTCCTTGACCTTTTGTAGCAAGTTCTTCAGGCCTTCTTCAGTTTCAGCAAGCAAGGTTTTGTCATCTGCATTTCATAGGTTGTTAGTCAGTCTTCCTCCAATCTTGATGCCACACTCCTCCTCATAAAGCCCTGCTTCCTGAATGATCTGTTCTGTATACAGAAGAGGGACAGGGACAGGATGCATCCCTGACACACTCCTTTCCTGATTTTGAACCATGCAGTGTTTCTTTGCTCTGTATTCATATAAGGTAACTTACTCTGAGAATTAGGACATGGCATCTTGGAAATCATTATTCAACCAACAGGCTCCACTGTGGTCCACATGCTTCACCAATCTTCTGAGAGATTATATGGGTTGTAAACTCTACTCAGATATAAGAATCCAAAATCTCCCTCAAATGGCATTGAATTGGTCCTTGATAGATATTTTATATTCCTTGTCTCGTATTTCTCAAAATCACTGTTTTGACACTGCTCTAGTTAATGAACTATTTTAGTAATATTTTTTCCTATATTGCATAGATTAAATGACATGCACATAAAAAAAATAATTGGTGAAGAAAATGGGTGTAGAAGTACTGAAAAAGCCAAAGTTAATGCAGGCAGCCTGTGATTGTAGTAGCCTTGTTTCTACAGTTTTTCTCTTGTTCCTGGAAAAGAGTTTTCTTTGTTGTGAATTTAAAAAAAGTAAAATTCTTCCAGTGATTTCATTCACACTTTTATAGAAATGTATCTCTTAACAACGTGTGCATCTCTTAGCAACACTCTCCCACTCATGCACATTCATAGCCCCTAATGTCCAGAATGTCCAGAAACTGGATCCACAATTAACATCCTTGGTACCAGCAGTCGGGAAATAAAGAGATGCATTGCACTGAGAAAATCTGCAGTTAGGGACCTTTCCAAGTTATTGAGGAGTAGTGATGTCAGTTTGAGGACTAAAGTGCATCTGATTCAGGCCATAGTCTTTCTGATTACCAGCTCTGCATCTGAGACTGGGCAATGAATAAGGATGGTAGAATAGACATCTTTGAGCTGTGGTGTTGGAGAAGAGCACTGAACATCCCATGGATGGCCAAGAGAACAAACAGATATGTCTTGGAGATGATGTACCTGGAGTGGTCTTTGGAGGCAAGAATGATGAGGCTTCACTTCACATGCTTTGGGTTGCTAGAAGGCGCTATTCCTTGGAGAAAGACATGGTGTTGGGAAGGGTGGAGAGGAAGACCCTCAACCAGATGGATTGACATTGTGACTGCTGCAATGGGCTCTTGTGTGTCAGGAAGTGTGAAGATGACACAGGACATGACTGGGTTCAGATCTTTTGTTCATAGGGTTGCTGTGAGACATACTCAACTAGACAGCACCTAACAACAATGTCCAGAAACAAATGGGGCATCAATGTCTGGAAAAGACATTTATGACTTCTAACTCTCCAAGAGCTCCTCAGTTAGCCTGCAAGGTATAGGAGATGCTAGAAGCTCTTTCTAGGTGTTAAGGATAACATTTCTAACAGTTGATGGCAAATCCGTTTCAAATCATAGCGTCCCCATGTGTATCTGGGTGGAACTGTGCTTCAGAGGGTTTCTAATGACTGATTTGGGGCAAGTAGATCACAGACCTTCCTTCCAAGATACTTTTGGGTGGACCCAAGTTTCTAGGTATCAGTCAAATACCTAACCATTTCTTTTCCACTGGATTCTACTGGGGATCCAGAGTGCACAAAACAAAATCCCTTTCTTCCTTCTATTTTTGTGGGAGCTCCAGACTACAGAACAGTTAAGTGAATTAGAAATCACAAGACATTATATTCTTAGAAAATTAGCAATAGGTAGCAAAATGGCTCAGAAATGTGTATCACCAATAAACCCAGTGTACTCTGTAATAAGGAGAAGAAAATGCTATTTTGTGTTGATTAAACTACAGTTTTTGGACATTTATACTGTACTTTGTACCAAACAAAGTTGCATAAAATCATTTCATCCTCTTAAAAACTCAGTGAAATGATTACTAAATAGTCTCATTTTATACATGATGAAACGAAGACCAAGGAAAGTTAAGTAAGTGATGGAGCTAGGATTTCAGACCAGGACATGACTGGTTAACTCAGGATTGTATATTACTTTCACAAAAGAAGGGGCATACAATATGGGTATTAAGGATATGGATTCTGAGGTACTAGGATTGAACTTCATTTCTGTGTCTTATAAACTATACAGGCTTTGACAAATGTAACCCCTCTGTGACTGCTTGTTTAATCTCAACATTCAGAGGCCACCAGGAATTCACTCATAACCAAAGTTAGGTATACTTAGGTGACACAATAAAGGAGTTAATGCCTATGAAATTGTGGGATGTATCAAAAACTGGAGACTTCAAATACAGAGTTGAATATTTGAGTCAGAGATGAAGATAAGAAATTGAAAGGTAATGACATACAGGAAATATTCTTGAAGTCCTTGGAAATTGATGAGACTAAGGAACGTTTCTATGGGCAAAAGAAGAGAACAGAGCCCAGGCCAAGTCCTAAAGAACATCAGTGTTTTCAAGGTTAGTTTAAGGGAATATCCAACAAGGATAGCCGAGGAGAGACTGCCTGGACGCAGGTCAGAACCATGACAAACGACGAGGGTTCATGGCTCCTTTGTGTAGTGTCAGATGCTGTTGAGAGATCAGAGAGGGAGAAGATAGAAAAGAGCCTGTTCAATCAGGCAATTAGTCCAAGGAATAGCTAAACGTATGTGTAAAGAAGCTAATGGGTATGATTCAGCGGAGAGTGGAGTGATGGCTCTGGATGGGAGAAGGTCAAAGCCAAAGTCAGAAAGAATATTTGCAGCAAGTCTGAAGGAATAACATTGGAGAGGAGGGCATTTTTCTCTCCTGGAGGGCTGATTTGTAGACTTTATTACAGGAAGATGGATGATGAGTTCCTGAGGACCTTTGCATTCTTTGGAGAAAAAAAAATGAAATATGGAGGCAATTAGTATGATTGAATGTACTGGAGGTGAGAAGGCTCATGAAGAACAGGAAGGATATGGAAAAGTCACGTGGGAGTCAGGGAAAGTGAGTCTGTAGGAGGGAGCACGCACACGCGTGAGCAGGTTTGCCAGGCAGTGTTGGCAAAGTGTCACTGTGTTCGAGAATTCTGAGGGAAACCTGGTTATTGGGATTGGAAGGCCAAAGAGCTGAGGTCAAGTTCAGATGATCTACATCAGAATGTTGAGACCAGTGGGGGCGGGAAGAGAAAGACCAGGAGATATTAGTACAACAGTGTCAGTCATGGAGGTTGCTCTTCATTTTCATGTTGTTGCTCATGTCGAAGCCGTTGTATGTCCCTTGTCCAGCAGCTGGCCTGGCAGAAATAGAGGAGTGCATGGCCCTGCCCTTACCCTTAAAGAGTTAAGAGTTATATTAGGAACTTAGGGCTTCTTGGGATGCAGCAGTTAGAGACCAGCAGAAGGCTAAAAAGGGACACGTGTGAGGGCCAGTTAGAGTTATGGGAAGCAGGCTCAACCTTCAGAGAAGAGAATGAAGCCAGCCATGACCCAGCCTCCTGGTGCTTCAGTAACTTTTAGCTGGAGCAGAGGAGAAGCATACTTCCCCCCCCCCCCATAACTGCAGAATAGATTTATTGACATCAAACCTTGTTTAAAGTCTTAAACATGTAAGTCAGAACATTTTTTATTTCCTCTGAGAAAATATTTTTTAAAAAATCTATACTTAGGTTCTTTATATATTTGCAAAGGTATATAATTGTAAGGTATAAAGGGTAACCTGGTAACTTTTATCACAGTGTATTTCATGAAAACCTAGGATTGCAATTAGCTTTCTGTTCATTACCATGTCACTTGTATTGCTAACCTATTTGCATAATGTACATTGTACATGCTTCATTTCTTACTTTGAAATTTAGATGTAAATCACTTCCCTTCTGAAGCAGATTTTCAAAAGTGTTAAGGGAAAACAGACTTTGGTTTTAGAATGGATATCCTCACTTTTAATTCAGGAGTTCTCTGAAGGATCTGAAAACATGCTGTTTGGCAGCACTTTGCAAGGTGATGACTTGTGTTCCAAGACTCCTTACCTCGTTGCCTACCTTCATATTCTTAAGTTGGCTATGACCGTGGGACCACAGAAATGTGGAAGCACTTTGTTGTGCACCGTCGAGTTGGAATCAAACCATAGCTGACCCTCCAGTGGGTTTTTAGAGGTTAGTTCATCATGTGGGAGTAGATTGACCGTCTGTCTCCCGAGGAGAAGCTGGTGGATTTGAACTGCATACCTTTGCATTGGCAGTGCAGTTCCTTATCACTCAGCCACCAGCGCTCCGTAATGTGAAAACATGGAAGTATAGTACTTGGATAATTGCAGAGATTGGGGCATAATGACTCTTTATGTCATCTTATATGAAGAATGAGGAAGTTACCTAACCTAATCTTTGCTTTGTCTCTTCTCTTTTTGAAAACAGAATGTCGGGAAAATCCTCTCCAAAGGATGTCACTATGTGGTCATCGGCCTACAGGGATTCGCCGCAGCCTACTCCGCCCCATTTGGAGTGGCCACCAGCGTGGTGTCCTTCGTCCGCTAGTGGGAGCTGCTGGGAAGGTGCCCCCAAAGCGAACAGAAACCTCGGCTCTGGAAAGGGGGCAAAACCAAGACTGTTTTGGATTTGACTGCACAAAACATTTAAAAGAAAAAAAAATCTTTCTTTGTGGAACTAGTTGGGTGTTAGGACAAAGTCGTCTCTGCCCTATCTGCTGGGTTTTTCCCATCCTTTGGACTCAGGTGGACCAGATGGCCAGTCCCCGGGAGATCAGGTCATGGTTCAGTTTGAAACTGGAATTAGTTTGCCATGAAGATAGAAGGGGTGTGGTGGAGCAAAATGCTTGACAAATGAGAGTGCTGAAGTGGGTATGAGGAGCGTTTACAAGGAAAAGGAGGATTTGGACATGGATTGAGGTGGTGCTGTCTACACTGGGCAGGCAGTAGGTTGACAGGGCACACACCACCCTTGGTTACCACAATTTGAGGAACTGACGGAGCCTCATGTTTCCAAAGTCATCTTCTCTCGTCTCCTCCCCCACACCCTATCCCACTGCCACTAGGTGCTACTGGCAGATTTGAAAAGGAAAGAAGAAAAAATATCTTAAAGTGAAGGTAATGATGTGTCATAAAACTGAGGGGTGTCTTGTGACTGTTTCAAGTATAAAATCTCATCATTTTTACTATCTCTGGAATGAAATGTAGGCTGGCAACCAGGGAGGGAGCGACAGGATGTTCAGATGCCTACTGGGGTTGGTGTGAGGTCCTGCTCCCAAGGGCTGTTGTGCCAGCCCAGCCCATGAGACTAGACAGACTCCTTTGCACCAGACCCAGGGCCTGCTCTGCCCTCAGCTGAGACTTCCTGATTCCACCGCACAGCCCACACTCACAATGTGCTGTGGGCCAAGCCAGCTCAAGATGATTTGTCTTTGGACAGAGAGGACGAAATTGAGCAAGACGCAGTGCCCATAAATGAAAGTGTATGAGTTAGAAAAGGAACTAGGAAGTAGAAGATGGGTGATACAGAAGTAGTGTTGTTGTGAGGTGCATCAGGTCGACTCTGATCTGTGCCGACCCTATGAATGACAGATCTGAACCTTGCCCCATTGTCTACCATCCTCATTATCTCTGCCCTGCTAAAGTCCACTGTGCTAGGCACTGTGTCAGTACATCTCGTTGAAGGTCTTCCTCTTTTCTGCTGACCTTTCTTAGCATGATGATGTCTTCCTGCAAGGACTGGTTCCCCCTAAAAATATGTCCAAAGCATATTGACATGAAGTTTCACCATCCTTGCCTCTTAAGACGCACTCTCACTGTGCTTCCTTGAACACTGTCTTGGTCTTTTGGCAGTTCATAGTATGTCCTGTACTCTGTCTGCACCACAGGCCAGAACAAAGGGAAGGAATGCTGAAGGAAGAGAGCTGAGCAGAAGATGCCAAAGGGCAGCTTAAGAAGACAAAGCAGAGTATTATCATGAAATGTACGAGGAGCTGGAGATAGAAAATGAAGAAGGAAGAACATGCTTAACATTTCTCAAGCTAAAAAAAATGGAACAAATTTGAACCTCGAGGGGCAATACTGAAGGATTCTGTGGGCAAAGTCATGAATGATGCAAGAAGCACCACAAGAAGATGGAAGGCGTACACAGAGTCACTGTACAGAAAGTTCTAGTCAACACTGAGCCATTTCAGGAAGTGATATATGATGTGGTACTGAAGGAAGAAGTCCAAACTGCACTGAAGGCATTGCCAATCAATCAGTCAAATCCCAGTAATTGATGGACTGCCACTGGAGGTGTTTCAAGAGCCATATGCAACTCTGGACACACTGGCCAGTCTCTGCCAACAATTCTAGATATGGAAGTAGACACTAGCAAAACAGGATGTTGGAAAGAAGCTCAGAGGAATAAAAACTGGGTCTGGGTTATTAAGTTTGGCAAATCATAGGTAAACCAAGCCTTCATATCTAGACAGGGTCCCAGGGCAGCTGAGTGTCTTAAGGGTAAGATGGCTGATGCTTGGAATCCTTCTAGGGCCCATAAACCCCTGCCAGTTGTCTTTTTTAGTATTAGTATTTTTATATTGCTTTGCTTACAAAGTCCATATATATTGTGTTTCACACTATTATTCATTCACATTGTGTTTCATACAATCATCCCTATGCATTATGCTTTATAAAGTTAATCACTGTTGGACCTTGCCCGTAATTACCCTGTCTTTTCGGGTTCCCGCTGGATCCCTCCCATTTCCTGAACCCCGTACTTCCACCCACCAAATTGTGCAGCCCTGTGGTTCTGCCCCCACCCGTCCTCCCCCTCTGCTCCCATCCTTTCCTCCCTTGGGTTCCCATGCATGTTTTACTAGTTATCCTTCTATTTTTACAATAATGGTCTTATGGAGTATTTGTTTTTATGAGACTGCCGACTGCCTTTTTGTCCTCTTTTCCATTTCTCCACTGCCCAGTTTGACCTCTTCTCACCTAGTTGGATGGAAGGAGATCTGGACCCTCGGGCAGGAGGAGATGAAAAATGAGCTCTTGCTCTGACCCAGTGTAAGGCTCATGATAGGCCCACTCTGTGACTTTGTTTCCAGAGTATTCCAGAGTCCACAGTGGTTGTGACCCAGGGCATGCGAGGGCGCCTCATATCTTCTGCATTAAAGACAGGGTAAGACAACAGAGATGCAGGGGAGAAATTTGTGGGTGTGAAGACTAGACTCAGGTTCACTTCCTGGAGGTTTGTGTTCAAGGGGAACATGGACCCAGTTCCTGCATCACTGAGATTTGTGAGGGAATGAGAAAATAGATGATCTCATTTTAGCCCAAATGGTGAAAGTTGATAATGTCCTATTTTCCCACGTGGAAGATAATTATAGCTTGCCTGGCAACACTAGAAGCTGGAGAAAAGTGGACATGTAAGTGGAAGAAAAGGCAAAGCCTGGTCAGCGAGGAAAACTCAGAGCCTGAGAGGATTGCCTGTCACAGTAAATGGCCAGGTTTTGGGGAGCTGGCTTCAGCTCTTCATGACTTTGTGCATTAGAGGAGAGCTGTGCTTCATAGTGTTTTCAGTGGCTGCATTCATGTAGATTGCCAGTCCTTTTTCCTAAGATCTTCTGGATGGGCCCAAATCTGCAGTCTTCCACTTAGCGCGTGAGCTGGCCATTTGCACCACTCAGGGGCTCGCCTTTATGGCTGTAGGTCAGGACGGGAACGGGTGCCAAAGAAATCCACTGGGTGCTTTTGATGAAACAAAACTATAGCCAGGGATGGGCTGAGAGTTTTTCTTGCAATTCCTTTGGAATTAATCCAAGAGCAAAGCTTCCCTCCACCCTCCAAGTTGGAGAAATGACATGAGCAAGAACAGAAGAATGTGGCCCCAAATTCTTAAGCCTGGTTAAGAATTAACCCAGAAGTTTAAAAAATCCAAACTTTCCCAAGAATGTCCCAGGTCAGGTGCATGTGTACAGAAGCTTAACTGTCCAGACCGTCACTCAGCCTGGAGGCTGCCTCGGTGGCCAGGCTCCAACGTCCCCGCTCTTGGTTCTCTGAGCTTGAAATCTTGGACTCCTGGTATCATGTTACAAACCACTTTTCATCTCTTGATTTTAATTTTTTTTTTCAACATGAGGACCCTCTTGAGAATTGAGTATGAGTGCCTTTGCTTTATGTGTTTGATTATGAGCCTGTGTATTTCTTTTATTTGCTTTGTTATGTAAATAAAGTCCAGAATGTGTACAATGTTTCTTTGCACAGTGGTTTCTTCTGCTCTCACTTTCTAACCTTACCTGAAGGAGTTTTCTGGATGTTTCACCTGAGGCTGAACAAGTGTCTCTTCTTAGACTGTCTTAGTCTGGAAGCTCCACTGAAAACTGTTTATCATCAAAGCAACAAAGCCTCCACCCACAGCCTGGTGACGGCTCTGTATGAGTTGCGTTGGTTGAGGATTGAACTCAGGTCTTCTACATGAAAGAGGAGAATTCTCCCGTTGACCTACCATTCCATCCACATGTAATCAAGTAAGCATAATACATATACCATTTACACACAAAGTTAAGGACAAAAGGTGAATGATTTCAGCATCCTTGTAAAGGGCTACATCTGAGAGAGCCCACGGTACCTTCACAAGGTCATCATGAGTTGTTAACAACTCAGTTACAACTAACAACAACCACATGGGTTTCACCACAAATCCAAACATCCCGAGGACTGTATTCTAAATTTTTAACATTCATGGGAGAATGTGAAATGATATAAAATATGAGTTAAGAAAAATTCTTTAGAAGGTGGTCTTTCATTCCAGCCACACCCTTTAACATATCTAAGGAGAAAAAGGGATTCCTGTGCCCAATGGGGACACAGACATGTGCAAAGCTGGGCAGGCAGGGTGAGGACAGAGGTTTGGGTGCTGAAGCCAGGGGCCAGGTCTCCAGGTCTGAGCAGTTTAAGCTTTCATCCTGCAACTCTGTCTAGACACGAAAAGTGGGGCCGGAATTTGACACCTGGAAGACTGACTTAGTCTTTTCAGAAGGTGTTTCTCAGGTGACGCCTCTTGCATAACTTGTGTTAACAAGTGTGTCTAGTTCACACCAAATGTACAAAGTGGGGTCAAAGAAACTCGACCCAGATAGAGAGCCAGAGAGCTCTCACTTGCTCTTTCACTTTGGGAAAATCACGTCCTACTAGCGCTGACTATTAAAACTAATAAATAATAAAACAAATATATTTTCTTTTGCTTTCTATTAGAGGTGACTAAAATTGCTGCAGGAGTAGAATGTAATGAAATAACACTGGTTTTGTAAGAGACTTCTGAAAGTCTGTTCCTGTCAAATCAATTCCAACTTATCCTCGCCCTATAGTGCAAAGTAGAATCACTGCTTTCCAAGGCTCTGGCTTAGTGGCAAGGAGTTGCGCTGCCAACCCAAAGGAACATGGTTTGAATCCACCAGCTGAACTGTGGAGAAAAGATGAGAAATCTCTCATGCAATTTACTGCGTCTGAAAACACCCTGAAGGGTCAGCTATGAATTGGTTCCAACTTGATTACACTCAA